ATCCAAGGTTTCCATCCCAAAGCAAACACTTCCTGATCTGCGTTAAACACAGATCAATACTCCATCATTACTCCAAAAAAGCAAAGCAAAAACATTCTTCTTTCTACTATTAAATATCTTGGCTTTATTTCTGAGAATTTCCCCCTCGGTTCCTGCTGCTCAGGGGTCAAAGACGAAGGGATTTTTTTAGGCTTGGCAGAGGATGATCAGCCACATCTAGTTTATTAAGTAGCGAGAGCAGGAAGAGCCGTACTGCTGAGAGCGAACCATCAGAGAGGAGCATAAAGCGCAGACTCTGAGCTAAGCCGTGCAAAGATGCATTTCTGCACAGCTGGAAGATCAGGGTTAGTCGGAGTTCAGCGCGCCGTACCGGATCATTCCGGGTTATTTTCTCCCTGCTGCTCCCAGGATCCATCTGAGCTCCTGCTGCATGCCAAGGGGGCAGCGGGATCACACAGGACACAGCAGCACAGCTGATACTGCTTAGTCAACCGGTTTAATTTAGTCTTGCATCGTTGACTAAAACTCAAACCTGTGACTCGTCATGTTTTCATCATTAAAGATCCATGTTAGGTCATCAGTTTTTGTTATCGTCATGAAAAAGAGGGGCCTCAACGTTATGCTTGGAAACCTGAGGTTGTGAGTTCAAGCCCCACTCCCACAGACTGCCACTCTGGGTTCCGGAGCAAGACCCTTAACCCCACACTGCTCCCCGGGGGCCGCACAGTGGCAGCCTACTGCTGCTGAAGGGGAGGGGTTAAATGCAGAGAGTTCATGTTGTTGCTCTGTACTTGTGACAGTGGGATGAAAATAAAACGCTGGAAAAAAAAAAAAAAAGATGTGGTCCAGTCACGTCCGGCAGGCAGCTCAGGCAGGCGCTTCAGGTCAATACGGACCAGAACAAACAGACTCAGCTTCTTTCCTAAAGCTGTCGCTAAACTCAACCTACGTTCGGAATTGCACTAATGTATGTATGTGTTATTTGTATATGCTATCTTAGACACTATTGGCTTTGTTCAAAATGTGAATAGTCCCACGCATTCTCATCTTCATACTTTGGATCTTGTGCTGACATACGGCATAGAATGTGAAGAAATAACAGTATTTCCTCACAACCCTGTCCTCTCTGACCACTTTCTAATAACCTTCAGGATTACTTTAACAGAGTTCTCCTCCCCCAAAAGAAGGTTCAATTTTAGTAGATCTTTATCAGATAGAGCAGTTATACATTTTAAAGAATCTGCTTCACTTTCTCTCTGCTCTGTGTCGCTGAGCAGTGCTGCAGAGTGCAAAAGCTTAGCTTATTCCCCTTCACAGGTTGATGATTTTGTTGATGGGGTTGCTAGTTCTCTGCGTATTGCCTTAGACAACGCAGCTCCTTTGAAAATGAAAACCGTTAAAAATAGAAAGCTTGCTCCTTGGTTTAATGCAGAGCTGCGTACTTTGAAGCAAAATGCTAGGAAACTGGAGAGAAAATATCGCTCCACAGGCCTGCGAGAATCCTTCCTAGTCTGGAAAAATGGTTTACTGCTGTATAAGAGGACCCTTTGTAAAGCAAGAGCAGCATACTTCTCCTCATTAATAGAGGAGAATAAGAATAATCCTAGATTTCTTTTTAATACAGTTGCCAAACTCACCCAGAGCCATAGCTCTGTTGAACCGTCCATTCCACCTGCTCTTAGCAGCAATGATTTTATGGGATTCTTTATAAATAAGATTGATCTTATTAAAAATAAAATCATAAGCACTCCTCTATCCGCGATTGTACCTGAGGTAGTCATGGAATCTGAACCAGGTTTAGACTGCTTTGATCCAGTTGAACTCTCTGAATTAGCAAAATTATTGTCTTCATCTAAGCCTTCAACTTGGATGTTAGATCCAGTTCCAACCAGGTTATTTAAGGAGGTATTCCCTTTGATCTCCTCCTCCATTTTAGATGTGATTAATCTATCTCTGTTACAGGGATATGTACCTAAAGCTTTTAAGGTTGCTGTAATTAAACCTCTGCTTAAGAAACCGTCTCTTGACCCAGATGACTTGGTCAATTATAGACCTATATCCAATCTTCCTTTCTTATCCAAAATTCTTGAGAAAGTAGTTGCCAAACAAGTTTGCGATCACTTCCACCATAATGAACTTTTTGAAGAGTTTCAGTCTGGCTTTAGAGCTCATCATAGCACTGAAACAGCTCTGGTGAAAGTCACTAATGATATTCTCATGGCCTCAGATAATGGACTTGTATCTGTGCTCGTCCTGTTGGATCTTAGTGCTGCATTTGATACAGTTGATCATAATCTTTTAGAACGACTTGAATATTTTGTTGGAATTAAAGGAACAGCTCTAGACTGGTTTAAATCTGATCTATCTGATCGAATTCAGTTTGTTCATGTTAATGATAGATCTTCAACACGCTCAAAGGTTACCTGTGGAGTACCACAGGGATCAGTGCTAGGACCAATTCTCTTTACTTTATACATGCTCCCAATTGGTAGAGTTATTAGACAGCATGGGATTAATTTCCACTGTTATGCTGATGATACCCAGCTATATCTGGCTATAATCCAGATGAAGCTAACCCATTACATAGATTACAGGCATGTCTGAAGACATAAAAACCTGGATGACTCTTAACTTTCTGCTTCTGAATGCAGACAAAACAGAAGTTATAGTCTTTGGACCAGAGTCTCTGAAAAAGAAGCTGATTAGTCAGTCACTTCATTTGGATGGGATTAAACTGATTTCAGATAATAAAGTAAAAAATCTTGGTGTTATTTTTGATCAGGACCTGTCATTTAAATCCCATATCAAAGAGGTTTCTAGAATTTCCTTCTTTCATCTGAGGAATATTGCAAAAATTAGAAATATCCTGTCCAGGGGTGATGCTGAGAAACTAGTCCATGCATTTGTTACTTCAAGGCTGGACTATTGTAATTCTTTACTATCAGGAAGTCCACAAACTGTAGTTAAAAACCTTCAGCTGATCCAAAATGCTGCAGCCAGAGTTCTGATGAAAATGAAAAAGAGAGATCATATCTCTCCTATCCTGGCTTCTCTTCATTGGCTTCCTGTTAAATCCAGAATAGAATTTAAAATCCTCCTTCTCACATATAAAGCCTTAAATGGCCAAGCTCCATCTGATATCAGAGATCTGATTGTTCCTTATGTTCCTAACAGAGCACTTCGCTCTCAATCTGCAGGTTTACTAGTGGTTCCTAGAATTTCTAAAAGTAGAATGGGAGGCAGATCTTTTAGTTCTCAGGCTCCTCTCCTGTGGAACCAACTACCAGTTTTAGTCCGTGAGGCAGACACCCTGTCTACTTTTAAGGCTAGGCTTAAAACTTTCCTTTTTGATAAAGCTTCTAGTTAGAGTGGCTCAGGTTATCCTGATCTATCTCTATAGTTCTGCTGCTATAGGCTTAGACTGCTGGAGGACATAGGGACCCCCATTTCATCATTCTGCTTCATTCTATCTCTATTCTCTGCAGAATCTGTTAGTTCAATCTCTAACGTTCTGCTCTCTCTGCTTTTCCTCAGAGTAGCTTCATCTGGTCTGTTCCTGTTTGGCTGTGACTCCATCCTGGAAAGAAACATCAGCTGTGCTGCTGCCATCAACACCTTTGTTTCTAGATGTTGGAGATCGGCCTGTTTTCCAGTGTGGTCCTGTTTCTCTGACTGTGACTAACTGGATGTGCTCTCTTCATCCTCTGACATGGGAGCTGGCTCGGAGCTCGTCTGCCTGGCTGTGTGTTTCCTGGACGGGGCCGCCTGTGGAGCTGGTTGACAGTTGCCTTTTGTATCTATGCTTCTTTTTCTATGTCTGCTTCTGTCTCCTTGAACCCCAGTGGGCCTCAGCAGATGGCCGCTCACACTGAGCCTGGTTCTGCTGGAGGTTTCTTCCTGTTCAAAGGGAGTTTTTCCTCTCCACTGTCGCTACAAGCATGCTTAGTGTGAGGGATTGCTGAAGAGTCAATGAGTCGATGCAATCACCTGGTTTTCCTTAGATAGAAAACTTTGTATCAATTTGACTGTATGATCTGGTTGAACTGTAAAGTGCCTTGAGATGACATGATGTGAATTTGGCGCTATATAAATAAACTGAATTGAATTGAATTATTTATGGTGCACTTTTACGGAGCTGCTCTCCTAATCTCATTATTGTGTACAATGACAATAAAGGCTTAAAAAATGATGACGATGAACCAGCAAAGAGTGACTGAACAGGAGGTGATTATATGGGAGACAGAAACAGAGACCAGGCTAATCAGCAGACTGGGAGCAGGTGTGGACAGAGGAGTCTAGAAGGGAGCTAGAGAAAAAGAAATTGACACAAAAAGGGCAACAGAAGGCAAAGAAGAAATACCTAAGAACTCAAGTTCAATAAAATATAACAACACAAAATGGAGATAAAACTAATTATTGTGCCATCTGCCATGATCATGGTTTTTGGACATTGGGAACCAGTGTCCATATTTTATCTTGACACGATGACAAGAGAAGAGAACGCAACTTTGGTGAATAATAGCTGGGGGACCGCTGTGCCCCCCCCTTCAGCCAAAGCAGTCACATGGCAACCCACAGAGTTGTGACCAACCATACTGTTAAATAAAGGCCAGTTAATGGAAAACAAATAAATAAGAAATCAAATGCTTAAGGATTCAATCTTATCTTAACGATATGCTTTTATTTTAATATTCAGAAGGCAAAAGACCATAGAAAACAGAACTATTATTTAACTTACTTTATATATTTTTGGATTTGAATCTGATGCATTTAAGAGCTCAAGAAAAATGCCACCTTAGTCTGTTTTTGTTAGTTGATATAAATGTAAATGGCTGGGATGGATGGGCTGATGACATCACATCAATCAGACCTTTGAACTGAATAGAAACATTTAAAAGAATATGGGCTGCTGTATAAAACCTGGAACTAAACGCTATTTCTGAGATTTTGAATTGAAAAAGCTTCCTGGATGGAAGAGAAACGTCTTCAAACTGGGAAACAAAGTCCAGTCGATTGATTTGAACTGTTTGTGACCTGGATGACTGAGAATCTTCACCAGTGATAGGAAGCATCGCGCTTCCTCTTCCTTCCTCCCTCCTTCCCCCCTGCCAGCTCTAATCAGACAGACCTGATCACAGAGACTGCTAATATTCTGTCTTTACTTCAGTCCAGGCTGATTGCAGCGGGTTCAATCCCTTAGGGATAATGTTTAACCCTTACTGCTCCCTCTGCAGTCCTATCCGCTGTAGCTGAGGACAAACACTTTTAGACGACTTCCTCTCCTACATGAATTCTCATATGTCTGTTTAAATGAGGCTTTTGGTAAAATCTTTTCCCACAAATGAGACAACCATAGGGCTTTTCTCCTTTGTGGATCCTCATGTGTTTGTTTAGGTTTGACTTGTGGTTAAATCTTTGTCGACAAACGTGACAACCAAACGGTTTGTCTCCCGTGTGGATCCTCATGTGGATGCTTAAAGTTGACTTTTGATTAAATCTTTGTCCACAGATATCACAACTAAATGGTTTGTCACCAGTGTGAATCCGGATGTGCTTGTTTAAACTTGACTTTTGATTAAACCCTTTCCCACAAACATCACAACTGAAGGGTTTGTCTCCTGTATGGATTCTCATGTGTTTGTTTACGGCAGACTTATCACTAAATCTTTGTCCACAAACGTCACAGACAAACGGTTTTTCCCCCGTGTGGATCCTCAGGTGTATGTTTAGATGTGACCTTCTGTTAAATCTTTGTTCACAGAAAAGACAACCAAAGGGTTTGTCTCCGCTGTGGATCCTCTTGTGTTTGTTTAAATTAGCCTTGAGGCTGAAAGTTTGCCGACAAACATCACAACCAAACGGTTTGTCACCTGTGTGGACTCTTGTGTGCATGTTCAAATCTGCCTTTCTACTGAATCTTTTCCCACAGACATCACAGCCAAACGGTTTTTCCTCCATGTGACTTTTCTTGTGTTTGTTTAGATCTGATTTTTTGTTGAATCTTTGTTCACAACCATCACAGCTAAACGGTTTCTCCACTGAGTGGATTCTCATGTGTAAATTCAAGCTAGATTTCTGATTAAATCTTAGTTCACAGGTGTCACAAACAAACGGTTTCTCCCCGGTGTGGATTCTCCTGTGGATTTTTAAGTGAGATTTTTGGTTAAATCTTTGCCCGCAGACATCACAGCCGAAGGGTTTTTCTCCAGTGTGGATCCTCAGGTGTCGCTTTAAAGAGTTTTTCAAAGTAAAACTTTTACCACAGTTATCACAGAAGAAATCTTTTTTGACTTTCTTCTCCCTAAAACCTTTAGATTTAGGCGCATAGGTTTTTGCGGAATGAGCCGCCATGTGTCTCTGCAGGCGGCGCTTGTTGCTGAACTGTTGGCTGCAGGCAGAGCAGCTCAGGGACTCGCTGACATCTGCTCCTTCTGACTCGGCAGATCTGCTCTCCTTCAGGTCCTTCTCATTGCCTTCAGTTTCAGACCCAGATGCTGACAGATGTTGGAGCTGAGAGTCTGGCTGACTCCCTCCATCCTCCTCTTCATCGCTGACCTCCGTCTCTGAAGAGCTGGAGGTGTCAGAGTTCCGGTTGGATCCACCGTCTTCATCGGTCTCAGCCTTCATCAGGTCCGCTGAGCTGCTGGTTGGAAGATCTCGTTCTTCTGGTTGCTGCTGATGAAGCTGTGAGAACAGAGGCTTCTCTTCCTCATCCTCGCTCTTCATCAGGACCACATTCAGTGGGAACCTGGTGGGATGGGTCTCCTCCTCCATGGGGAGCTGCTCCGGTTCCTGCTGATCGTCTCCTGGAGCTTCTTCTTTCACCGACATCAGCTGCTGAACATCTGCAGACGTCATGAAAAACAATTACATCTATTGTTAAGTGGCGGTTTATGACTAGTGACGGTTGGTGACTAGTGACGGTTGATGACTAGTGACGGTTGATGACTAGTGACGGTTGGTGACTAGTGACGGTTGGTGACTAGTGACGATTGGTGACTAGTGGCGGTTAATGACTAGTGACGGTTGGTGACTAGTGGCGGTTGATGACTAGTGACGGTTGGTGACTAGTGACGGTTGATGACTAGTGACGGTTGATGACTAGTGACGGTTGGTGACTAGTGACGGTTGGTGACTAGTGACGGTTGGTGACTAGTGACGGTTGGTGACTAGTGACGGTTGATGACTAGTGACGGTTGGTGACTAGTGACGGTTGGTGACTAGTGACGGTTGGTGACTAGTGACGGTTGGTGACTAGTGACGATTGGTGACTAGTGACGGTTGGTGACTAGTGACGGTTGGTGACTAGTGACGGTTGGTGACTAGTGACGGTTGGTGACTAGTGACGGTTGATGACTAGTGACGGTTGGTGACTAGTGACGGTTGGTGACTAGTGACGGTTGGTGACTAGTGACGGTTGCTGACTAGTGACGGTTGCTGACTAGTGACGGTTGCTGACTAGTGAAGGTTGCTGACTAGTGTCGGTTGTTGACTAGTGAAGGTTGCTGACTAGTGACGGTTGATGACTAGTGAAGGTTGCTGACTAGTGACGGTTGCTGACTAGTGACGGTTGGTGACTAGTGACGGTTGGTGACTAGTGACGGTTGCTGACTAGTGAAGGTTGGTGACTAGTGACGGTTGCTGACTAGTGACGGTTGCTGACTAGTGAAGGTTGCTGACTAGTGTCGGTTGGTGACTAGTGACGGTTGCTGACTAGTGACGGTTGCTGACTAGTGACGGTTGCTGACTAGTGTCGGTTGCTGACTAGTGACGGTTGGTGACTAGTGACGGTTGCTGACTAGTGAAGGTTGGTGACTAGTGACGGTTGCTGACTAGTGACGGTTGCTGACTAGTGAAGGTTGCTGACTAGTGACGGTTGGTGACTAGTGACGGTTGCTGACTAGTGACGGTTGATGACTAGTGACGGTTGATGACTAGTGACGGTTGATGACTAGTGACGGTTGCTGACTAGTGAAGGTTGGTGACTAGTGACGGTTGGTGACTAGTGACGGTTGGTGACTAGTGAAGGTTGCTGACTAGTGACGGTTGGTGACTAGTGACGGTTGCTGACTAGTGACGGTTGCTGACTAGTGACGGTTGATGACTAGTGACGGTTGATGACTAGTGAAGGTTGCTGACTAGTGACGGTTGATGACTAGTGTCGGTTGATGACTAGTGACGGTTGATGACTAGTGACGGTTGCTGACTAGTGAAGGTTGCTGACTAGTGAAGGTTGGTGACGTGTCGGTTGCTGACTAGTGACGGTTGATGACTAGTGTCGGTTGATGACTAGTGACGGATGCTGACTAGTGACGGTTGATGACTAGTGACGGTTGATGACTAGTGACGGTTGTTGACTAGTGAAGGTTGCTGAATAGTGACGGTTGCTGACTAGTGACGGTTGATGACTAGTGAAGGTTGCTGACTAGTGACGGTTGCTGACTAGTGATGGTTGCTGACTAGTGAAGGTTGCTGAATAGTGACGGTTGATGACTAGTGAAGGTTGCTGACTAGTGACGGTTGCTGACTAGTGACGGTTGCTGACTAGTGAAGGTTGCTGACTAGTGTCGGTTGTTGACTAGTGAAGGTTGCTGACTAGTGACGGTTGCTGACTAGTGAAGGTTGCTGACTAGTGTCGGTTGCTGACTAGTGACGGTTGCTGACTAGTGAAGGTTGCTGACTAGTGAAGGTTGGTGACTAGTGACGGTTGATGACTAGTGACGGTTGCTGACTAGTGAAGGTTGCTGACTAGTGTCGGTTGCTGACTAGTGACGGTTGCTGACTAGTGAAGGTTGCTGACTAGTGTCGGTTGCTGACTAGTGACGGTTGATGACTAGTGACGGTTGCTGACTAGTGAAGGTTGCTGACTATTGTCGGTTGCTGACTAGTGACGGTTGCTGACTAGTGAAGGTTGCTGACTAGTGAAGGTTGGTAACTAGTGTCGGTTGCTGACTAGTGATGGTTGATGACTAGTGACGGTTGATGACTAGTGACGGTTGATGACTAGTGAAGGTTGCTGACTAGTGACGGTTGATGACTAGTGTCGGTTGATGACTAGTGACGGATGCTGACTAGTGACGGTTGATGACTAGTGACATTTGTTGTTGACTAGTGAAGGTTGCTGACTAGTGACAGTTGATGACTAGTGTCGGTTGATGACTAGTGACGGATGCTGACTAGTGACGGTTGATGACTAGTGACGGTTGTTGACTAGTGACGGTTGCTGACTAGTGACGGTTGATGAGTAGTGACGGTTGATGACTAGTGACGGTTGATGACTATTGACGGTTGCTGACTAGTGAAGGTTGATGACTAGTGACGGTTGATGACTAGTGACGGTTGGTGACTAGTGACGGTTGATGACTAGTGACGGTTGGTGACCAGTGACGGTTGATGACTAGTGACGGTTGGTGACTAGTGACGGTTGATGACTAGTGACGGTTGATGACTAGTGACGGTTGGTGACTAGTGACGGTTGGTGACTAGTGACGGTTGGTGACTAGTGACGGTTGGTGACTAGTGACGGTTGGTGACTAGTGACGGTTGATGACTAGTGACGATTGGTGACTAGTGACGGTTGGTGACTAGTGACGGTTGGTGACTAGTGACGGTTGGTGACTAGTGACGGTTGGTGACTAGTGACGGTTGATGACTAGTGACGGTTGGTGACTAGTGACGGTTGATGACTAGTGACGGTTGGTGACTAGTGACGGTTGGTGACTAGTGACGGTTGATGACTAGTGACGGTTGGTGACTAGTGACGGTTGATGACTAGTGACGGTTGGTGACTAGTGACGGTTGGTGACTAGTGACGGTTGGTGACTAGTGACGGTTGATGACTAGTGACGGTTGGTGACTAGTGGCGGTTGATGACTAGTGACGGTTGGTGACTAGTGACGGTTGATGACTAGTGACGGTTGGTGACTAGTGACGGTTGGTGACTAGTGACGGTTGATGACTAGTGACGGTTGGTGACTAGTGACGGTTGATGACTAGTGACGGTTGATGACTAGTGACGGTTGGTGACTAGTGACGGTTGGTGACTAGTGACGGTTGGTGACTAGTGACGGTTGGTGACTAGTGACGGTTGGTGACTAGTGACGGTTGGTGACTAGTGACGGTTGGTGACTAGTGACGGTTGGTGACTAGTGACGGTTGATGACTAGTGACGGTTGGTGACTAGTGACGGTTGGTGACTAGTGACGGTTGGTGACTAGTGACGGTTGGTGACTAGTGACGGTTGATGACTAGTGACGGTTGGTGACTAGTGACGGTTGGTGACTAGTGACGGTTGATGACTAGTGACGGTTGGTGACTAGTGACGGTTGATGACTAGTGACGGTTGATGACTAGTGACGGTTGGTGACTAGTGACGGTTGGTGACTAGTGACGGTTGGTGACTAGTGACGGTTGGTGACTAGTGACGGTTGGTGACTAGTGACGGTTGATGACTAGTGACGGTTGATGACTAGTGACGGTTGGTGACTAGTGACGGTTGGTGACTAGTGACTAGTGAGGCATCTTGAAGCCAAACTGTATTGATGCTGCGTTGATTCAGTCTCTCAGAATACTGACCTCTGCTGGACATTTAAAGACACTACAGGCAGCTGATTGGACAGAATAAACTGAATGGATCTGATGACCTAGAACAATGATACCATTGAAGTTATATTCTATTATTTCATTTCTATGTTCAAATTGAAAATATCTTTGCTATTTTTAGATCCAGCCAATAAATAAAGTCAACATTTATTCTAAGGTGAACATTGAGGGGAAATGCTGCTGGACTAGGATTTAAAACCATCATTTTAAAACAATAAGTTCAGTAAAAACAGGAAATAAACTAAAGTTCATTAGAAATGAACTTTAATTTCTGATGAGTTGAGTGATCTGAGAGGAAAAGGATGAAACAACGAGAAAATAAAAACAACTGAAACGTTTCTATTCCTTTTAGGCTCTAACATTCTGGATCATTTTAATGAGAAACTGCAAAAGATGAGACTTTATTTAGCAGCTGCATCATGGTGACAGAAAGGATTTTATTGTCCCAGACCTTAGAGAAGCTGTAATATATATATATATATATATATATATATATATATATATATATATATACACTATATTGCCAAAAGTATTTGCTCACCTGCCTTGACTCACATATGAGCTTAAGTGACATCCCGTTCCTAATCCATAGGGTTCAATATGACGTCGGTCCACCCTTTGCAGCTAGAACAGCTTCAACTCTTCTGGGAAGGCTGTCCACAAGGTTTAGGAGTGTGTTTATGGGAATTTTTGACCATTCTTCCAGAAGCGCATTTGTGAGGTCGCACACTGATGTTGGACGAGAAGGCCTGGCTCTCAGTCTCCGCTCTAATTCATCCCAAAGGTGTTCTATCGGGTTGAGGTCAGGACTCTGTGCAGGCCAGTCAAGTTCATCCACACCAGACTCTGTCATCCATGTCTTTATGGACCTTGCTTTGTGCACTGGTGCACAGTCATGTTGGAAGAGGAAGGGGCCAGCTCCAAACTGTTCCCACAAAGTTGGGAGCATGGAATTGTCCAAAATGTCTTGGTATGCTGAAGCATTCAGAGTTCCTTTCACTGGAACTAAGGGGCCAAGCCCAGCTCCTGAAAAACAACCTCACACCATAATCCCCCCTCCACCAAACTTTACACTTGGCACAATGCAGTCAGACAAGTACCGTTCTCCTGGCAACCGCCAAACCCAGACCCGTCCATCAGATTGCCAGATGGAGAAGCGCGATTCGTCACTCCAGAGAACGCGTCTCCACTGCTCTAGAGTCCAGTGGCGGCGTGCTTTACACCACCGCATCCGACGCTTTGCATTGCACTTGGTGATGTATGGCTTGGATGCAGCTGCTCGACCATGGAAACCCATTCCATGAAGCTCTCTGCGCACTGTTCTTGAGCTAATCTGAAGGCCACATGAAGTTTGGAGGTCTGTAGTGATTGACTCTGCAGAAAGTTGGCGACCTCTTCGCACTATGCGCGTCAGCATCCGCTGACCCCGCTCCGTCAGTTTACGTGGCCTACCACTTCGTGGCTGAGTTGCTGTCGTTCCCAAACACTTCCATTTTCTTATAATACAGCTGACAGTTGACTGTGGAATATTTAGGAGCGAGGAAATTTCACGACTGGATTTGTTGCACAGGTGGCATCCTATCACAGTTCCACGCTGGAATTCACTGAGCTCCTGAGAGCGACCCATTCTTTCACAAATGTTTGTAAAAACAGTCTGCATGCCTAGGTGCTTGAATTTATACACCTGTGGCCATGGAAGTGATTGGAACACCTGATTCCAATAATTTGGATGGGTGAGCAAATACTTTTGGCAATATAGTGTATATATATATATATATATATATATATATATATATATATATATATATATATATATATATAATATGCTGTTTATTCTTCTAAAGCTCAAAGTTCTCCCTCCAGCTCTGATGTTCGAACTTAACTACGCTGCAGTGCTGAGGCATCATTCTACTGTCCTGCTTAAAGCTGCAGGTCGACCTCCCCAAGATGGCGGCCGTAATGTCTGTGCTGCAGCAGTCAGTGCGGGGTCTGCTCTGATATCACTGCCTCTAAAATCAGAGTCTCTCCAGATAAACTGGACCTCAGCAGATCTGAGGCTCCATAGAGCAGAAACACAGAGATTGGCTCCGCATGTTCTACCCAGCATAGATCTATGAGCTGCCATCCAAACGTGACATGAGAGGAGAAACAGACCAACCTGCTGGCTTCACCTGAGGAGCCTCCATGCTCCTCCTGCTCCTCCTCCTCCTGCTCCTCCTCCTCCTGCTGCTCCTCCTCCTGCTGCTCCTCCTCCTGCTTTCAGCTGAAGCCTTAAAGTTTCTGACTTTGAAACGGATCAAAAGCTTCTGATGATCAGGAGTCACTGAGGCAGGCGGCTCTGCGTCAAAGGAACACAAACCGGAAGTTCCGCCCACACAGGGCGCTGATTGGAAGTCCGCCATATTGGTCAGGGATGGATGTGTCAGGTAAACATTAAGGGAGGGCTTTGTGGTTTAAAAGAAAACACCTTAGAAAAACAGCTAAAGAGTTTATTCTATCGACCTTAAAGTTAATATTTTCTGATTTTATCGCCCACTTCCAGTGATGGGAGTAACGGCGTTGAAAGTAACGTTACTAACGCCGTTATCTTTTTTTAGTAACATTGGATGGAGATCCATATTTTATGTATACTGCAGAGCATACATCTATATAGATCTGTATATATAGATAGATAGATAGATAGATGTTGCCGAATCTATAACAACCCAACCACACAGGATTTCAGAATTAGACATCCCCAGTTATTAATTTCATTCACTCACCAGATCTGAACGCCCTGTTAAAAAACTTCCCCCCCATGAGTAGAGGTGATGCAGCCTGATGATATTTACACCGCATCAGATAGCGTTCCCCCCATGTTAAGCAGGGGGAACGCTATCTGACGGCGTTTATAGGCCCGTCAGATAGCGTTCCCCCCTGATGTCATTTAGGTTGAGTTGCAATAAATGCTAAACTCTCTGCAGGTTCTTGTCTTTGTCGTCCGCTCTATTCAGCTGGCTTTGGAAACACACGGCGAGAAGGTGGGGGCCGGGTGGGGAGGGTTACGGAGGCGAGAAACGCAAAAGTAACGCAATAGTTACTTTTACTAGTAACTAGTTACTTTCACTGTGTAGTAACTCAGTTAGTAACTCAGTAACTTTTTGCGGGAAGTAACTAGTAACTATAACTAATTACTCTTTCAAAGTAACACTCCTCACTTCAGATAGATAACCTGTTCTTTCTGCTTTAATCAACATGGCGGCTCACAGGATTTCCCTCTTATTCTGAAACATTGCATCCAGTTAGACTCAGGTTCAAGTCACAAGTTTAAAAAAATAATTTCACACAGAAATAAATCTGATAGCAGCGACGATACCAGCCAATGGGGTCGCTTCAGGCCACCAACCAAAAACAGGAAATAGAACCAGATGACTTTGATCACAGGAGGCTGGTTCAGTTACAATAAACCACTTTTTATGTTGAACAGAAGCTGGGGTTTCTGTTGCCATGGTTACAACATAAACAGTCCCATCAGTCTTTACTGCGCTGATGTTAAACAGCTCTCACTATAAGCTCAATGTGTTCAGGAAAAACAAGAGAACGTTTGTCTCCAGCAAAGTGTCTGTTTGCACAGCGAGGCCTGAGAACAGGAGGTTCCAGAGGAACAGCCCGGCCCCGGGCTCCGGGCCCCGGGCTCCGGGCGAAGGGAGGCGCTGGCAGGCCGCAGCAGATCCTAACTGCAGATGAAAGGACAGGCGCCCCCTAGCTGCTGTTTTCATGACCTGAGGCTGAATCCCTGCTCTGCCACTAAACTTCCAGCAACAATTCAGCCAAAGTTTTAAATCTGGGACAATTTCACCCCGGAGGCGATCAGAGGTCAGAATGATGACGGGTTCCTGATCCATCAATGATTCACTTCACAGCAGCAAATATTTATTGATTTCTATTTCACCAAAACCCTAAAAACAGTCAACGTTCCTAAAATGTTTGGTTATTGGAACTGCTGCAAAAAAATGACTCGGTCTGCTCAGCAGCAGGAGAGCCGTGCATCAGCCATGTGACCTCTGGGGGCGTGGCCTCAGTACGCCACACTTCATGTCCAGCTTCACAGTCAGGATTAAAAACCACTGATTTATCTAAATTGCATCACAATTGAGTTTTTTTCTATTTCCAGTTTTACTGAAAAAAGGAAAGAAATGTATATTTGTGTGCAGAGTTGATTCAGAATCGTTACATCTAGGCGCATAGATCTAGCTTTCTATTAATAAACACTGTTGGAAATACTAACAGTGTTTAAAGGCCTCAGCTTTACAGCTTTGGTTTAAATATTAATAAATATGTATTATATGCATGATGCCCTAAAATGGAGCCTTTGGTGGACAGATATTAATACGATTTTTCCTTCTATGGAGAAACGTTTTAGTCAAAGAGCTACATTCAGCGTCTATGAATTTATTCTCATTTCCTGGTTTTGCCATCAACACTATTCTGGATTATTTCTGACAAAACATGAAGAATATGTTTAAAGTTTCCTTTAAGTTCTTATTTCAATCTTTTTTCTCATCTCTGTGTGAGAGGGGCAGTAATTCTCTGCATATCAGCCTATTTTATTTCTATAGTCATTTTTAAAAACCTCTGGATCCAACGTCTGAAAGCACTTTAAATATTTTCTCTGGCCAGAAGTTCGATGGCAAATCCTCCCTCTTCAAGTTGGCGATCCAACGACCAACCCGTCCGTGGAGGATCAGGAATCAGAAAGGTGGAGTAACTCTTTCTTTCACTTTTACCCGATGTATTCCAGCATCCAGCTGCCATGCACGTGGGCATTGTCAGTTTCACTATAGCTCTGGTGAATTTCAATGGTGAAGTCCTCTGGAAATCTTCAATAATTGTTGTTGATTGCAGATGTGTCTAGTAGTTCCCATTGATTTAGCTTGTAAAGCGGGGAGAATGGCGCTAGGCTTACCGCACCGTGACGTCACTGCTGGAAGATGGCAGGAGGGAGGGGCTACTATATTTGGGCAAAAATGGCCGCTCCCCGACTCAGTGATCGTGATGGAAATTATTGTTTTTAGTTTATTACTGATTAACGCTAAATTAGTTAAATCCCTGCATTAGTTTTAGGTATAAATAATCATCCATTGATTATTTCTCGCTGATCGGACTCCTTTAACATAACTAGAGACTTTCTAAACCAGGTTTTATATTTTCCTGGGATTATTGGAGACGCTATATCATTAAAGTGCAGCATCTATAATAGGAATTTTTTTAGACAAAGTTATTTGTGATTTTGCAAACAAGGAAAAAGTAAAGCTGCTTTTAAATTCTGGAAGTAGAAGACATCCTGAATGCCTGAATGAGGCATCTGGATTAATTCCAAGATTACAATGAGTTTAATCTAGATTAAAAAATGAATCTATTCTCACCACTGATTTTAATACACTTATATCTGTTTGCACCATTTGTTTTAGATCAACTGGGTAAAATTGATCCAAAGACATTTTTGCTGCTTTATATAATTTGTGTTCTTGGACAGAAGAATTTGAAGAGATCTAACTTTTTTATAATTAAGACATAAAATAAAATAAAATTAAAAAACACCAAGTTTTGACCATTTGAAGCTAAACTGAGAATATAGGAGATATTTGAAGTGCAACTTGTAGAACATAATATATGAACTTGTAATTTAAAATGTTTTGGATCCAAATGACCTTCAATCTGACAGAGGAAAGTTTTTACTGACCAACAAATAAAAACATTTAACAAACACAACATGTAGAAAAACCTTCTTTTGATAACAGTTATTTCAGTAGAAACGGATTTATACAGCAAAATGCAATGTTGGCTGGATGCAGCGTAACGGCAGCGATGACCTCATAGCTGAGAGACGTTCACTGCATGCGAACCGTTTGAGGACGGGAAGCCGTTGACCCCTCCAGAGGTGAAACCCATCCTCTCCATCTAAACGCTTCCTCCATCTGTGTGGATGATTCTGTGTTTGGCTAAATGTGACTTGGAGTTAAATCTCTGGCCGCAGACGTCGCAGCCAAACGCTTTGGCTCCACTGTGAGTCGTCATGTGTTTGTTCAGATGAGCCTTTTGGTTAAATCTCTGGCCGCAGACGTCGCAGCTGAACGGTTTGTCACCTGTGTGGATTCTCAGGTGTCTCTTCAGCGCCGACTTCTGGACGAACCGTCGTCCACAAACATCACAGTCAAAGGATTTTATCTGCATGTGGATTTTCATGTGTTTGTTCAAAGCAGACTTCTGCATCAATCGTTGTCCACAAACGTCACAGGCAAATGGTTTCTCTCCTGAATGCAGGATCTGGTGCAAGTTTAAATGTGACTTCAAGTTAAATCTTTGATCACAAACAGAACATCTGAACGGTTTCTCCCCCGTGTGAACGCGGATATGTTTGCTCAGGTAGGACTTCAGGTTAAATCTTTGCCCACAGAAATCACAGCCATAGGGTTTCCCCCCTGTGTGGATTTTAGCGTGTTTGTTTAAGTTTGATTTTTGGTTAAATCTCTGCCCGCAAACATCACAGCCAAACGGCTTCTCCCCGGTGTGGATCCTCATGTGTATGTGTAGGTAGGACTTCAGGTTAAAGCTTTGTCCGCAGATGTCGCAGCCAAAGGGTTTCCCTCCAGTGTGGATTCTCATGTGTTTGTTTAAGTTGGAGTTTTGGTTAAATCTTTGCCCGCAGATGTCGCAGCCATATGGTTTCTCTCCAGTGTGGATCCTCTGATGTCTGCTGAGATGATTTTTCCAACTGAAACTTTTCCCGCAGTCATCACAGGTAAAACATTTCCCTGCAGCCTGGACCTTCCTCTGTGAGTTCTTCTTCTCCCTCCTTTTATCAGCGGACCGACATGAATGTGGCGCGGCGGAATGAGCCGCCATGTGTCTCTGCAGGCGGCGCTTGTTGCTGAACTGTTGGCTGCAGGCAGAGCAGCTCAGGGACTCGCTGACATCTGCTCCTTCTGACTCGGCAGATCTGCTCTCCTTCAGGTCCTTCTCATTGCCTTCAGTTTCAGACCCAGATGCTGACAGATGTTGGAGCTGAGAGTCTGGCTGACTCCCTCCATCCTCCTCTTCATCGCTGACCTCCGTCTCTGAGGAGCTGGAGGTGTCAGAGTTCCGGATGGATCCACCGTCTTCATCGGTCTCAGCCTTCATCAGGTCCGCTGAGCTGCTGGTTGGAAGATCTCGTTCTTCTGGTTGCTGCTGATGAAGCTGTGAGAACAGAGGCTTCTCTTCCTCATCCTCGCTCTTCATCAGGACCACATTCAGTGGGAACCTGGTGGGATGGGTCTCCTCCTCCATGGGGAGCTGCTCTCCCTCCAGAATGCTCCATGGTTGCTCCTCCTCAGCCTCCTGCTTGATGTGGAGGAGCTCCAGGTCCTGATGGTCTGAACCAGGAAGCTTCTTCTCAGGATCTTCATCTGGAGTCTTTAGGTTCCTGCTGGATTCATCGGTTTCTTCCTTCAGTCCATCCGCTGAGCTGCTGGTTGGAAGATCTTCGTCTTCTGTTTGGTGCTGATGAAGCTGTGAGAACAGAGACTTCTGCTCATCATCATCATCGTCATCGTCGTCCCTGATGGGAGCTGCAGACTCTTTCTTCATGTTGGGCAGTCGGTCCAGTTCCTCCTTGAAGTGGGGGGGCTCCTCCGCCTCCTGCTGATCCACATTCAGACTCTCCTCCTCAGGAGCCTCTTCTTTAACCACCAGGATCTGATGAACGTCTGCAGGAAACGCTGAAAGACATCAGGTACATTTTACACATCAGTAAATTGTTCATTCCCAGTTTAGGTCTAGCTTAGATCCAGTGGATCTAAGCTACTCCCAGCAGGGGGCGCCTGCAGCAGAGCTTAAAGCCGTTTTTCTGACAGGAACTGGATCACAGTCTTGATTTCATTACAGATCATCACTAAACATCAGTTAGGATCAACTAACTGCTGGTTAAAGATGATCCTGTGGCCGTGCATCAATGCATCTTGATGGAGGTGAGATAACCAGGCCATAGCCGTGTGTTAACATGCATGGAAACATGGCGGCCAGTCGGTACTAAAGCTTAACTCCCAGCATGGCTGCATGTCGTCCTTGATAAACCGCTCTAAGGGCGTGCAGCGGTGGTGCAGCGGTTAGCGCACATGACCCTGAACGGAGGCCTTAGTCCTCCACGTAGCCGACCCGGGTTCGAACCTGACCTGTGGTCCTCTGCCGCATGTTTCTACCTTCCTGTCAAAAAACAAGCCACTAGTGCCAAGAAAACTACAAAAACCAAACCCTCTAAGACCACGTTGGGGTCTAGTTTTATTAGACCTGCCTATTATAGCTAAAACTGATGGCTCCAATTCCAGAGCTAATCCTCACCAACGAGCCTCATCAATAAAATAATAAACATGTCTGTTCCTCCCACTGTGGAAAAGCAGAGAAAGGTTTCAGTTTCCTTTTGGTGACGACAACCAACAGGTCTTCCTCTAGAAGTCCAGTCTGTGGCTCCTTGGAGACGGCGTCAACGTTCGGTAGGTGAGTTTGTTCGAGGTTCAAGGACTGTAAGGTTCAGTTCAGGATTATCACTGGAATGCCGGCCTGAACACTAGAAGCTAAAAGTGCTTCTCACCAAAGTTGGTGTGATGGGGGGGGATTTCTGAGTTGATTCTCTTTAACTTTAACTTGCAGGTCTGTTTTAATGAAATAACGTCTTTGACCCGCAGATCCTGCAGAGTTCAACAGACCTAAAAGTCTCGTTTCTATTTTTCCCAGGCTGTCGGTCTCCATGCGCATCAGGAATCATATCCCGCGCATCGGGGCGGAGCAGCTGTTCCTGGAACATCTGTGTCATTAACACCGCGTCTACTGCTGGATGGAGAACCCCTCTGTTCTCAGCTGCATCACTGACCAGAGGAGGAACTGAAGCGGCGGTTAGGAGCAGAATCTGAGGTTTACGGAGGAGGAATGTGTCTGAAATAACCGACTGAAGGACGGAGGCCTGACAGCTTGATTATAAATAGCCCCTTAAATATAGATTTTATAAACATCATAATAATCATAAAAACAACATAACAAGGTATCCGCTGCCCCCTACAGGCCAGCAGAGAAGATGCGGAGGAAGATGCTGGATGATGGAGGAACTTTGAGAGAAATGATTTTCTGAGTGTAGTGATTTGTCATGGTCGGGCTTCCGTATCTACGCTGTTATTAACGCCGGCTGATAAAGCTGAGCTCAACGAGCGACAGCATAGGTCCGTTCATGACAACTCATCAGTTCAATAATTCTGTTTTATATTGTTTTAATTGAATGCAAAGTCTGATGAGTCTGTTTTTGTCCTGTTTTAATAATAATAACTATAATAATGATCAAAAGATTAAATTATTGCTAAATTTAACGAATTCTGATTAAAACTGTTCAAATAAAATGAATCCTGTAAAAACTTCACTCATAAATAAAATAGTTTGAACCTTTTCCTAATAAAAGTAAACGCTGATAAATGAAATAAGATGAAGTTGTTTTTTAATAAACTGTTTATGAAAGGAAGCCGGAAGCCAAACAGCTGATGGATGAAAACAAACCAACCTGAAGTTTCCATCTGAACATGGAGCCCAGAGGCAGCATCCATGTTCCTGCCTCCTTCCTGCTGCTTCCAGTCGCTCCTTTAGCTCCTATCGCTTCATCTCCATCAGCTGTTCGGCCTCCGCTCCTTCCTCTCAGCTGGACCGACCCGGTTCTGCTCACTTTGAGCCTTTAGAACCAGCAGAACCGGAGAAAAACCCACGAACCGGAGCAGAAGCGCCCCTGGCGCATGCGCACTGGCGATCAGTGGGCGAACCCCGGAAGTGCCGCACAGGATGTGAAGAAGCCTACACCGCATGCGCGCCTGGGATGCACGGCAACCCTGACGCCATATTGGAAAGGGCATTTTGATACGTTTAACTTTGTAGTTCCATGATTTATAGATAATCTGACCGTCAGAAAGACACGATTAAAATTAAATTGATTCCCAACTTTTAAAGGTGAACATTTTTTTTTCTATTTACTGAAAAAACAGCATCAGTTCTCTTGATGTTCCCAAACCTTTTATTTATTTATTTATTTATTTATTTATTTATTTATTTATTTATTTATTTATTTATCCACACAAGGTATTTTGTTGGATAATTTAAATGGAGACCCTGTGAGTGTAGTTATTTTTCATCCCTGTTCACCCTCATAAAGATGGAACACAGTTTAAAAATACTCCCCTATTTGCGGGTGGGTGGGGTAGGTCTATGTTTAAAACTTAATAGATTAGATTAGATGAGCTTTATTGATCTCACAGCGGAGAAATTCACTGGTCACATATTGACATAGTAATTAAAGAAGGTGCAAACAAGGAGGAAAAAATGCATTAAGAATAAACAATATATATACAGTATATCAAGATAAATAAGGATTAAGGTTCAAGTGCACATGTGTCACACACAATGAAAAACAAAATAAAAATAAGAAATAAAAAAATAAAAAATACAAGGGAGAGGTTTGAGGTGACATATGTACAATCCAGATGGCTTATAAACAGCTGGATTTACTTTACATTAAAGTGTAGTAGGTGAGGAACAACGGTGAGGTAGTGGTATGACTATTCTATTCACATATATTGCACAGTCAATAAATAAAAAACCTCTAATATAGCTGCACAGTGGTTTTTACAGGAGTTATTGTGGTTATATTGCATTATTATAGAGTCTGGTGGCAGCAGGAATGAATGACCTGCAGTAGTGCTCCTTCTTACAGAAAGGGTGTCTAAGTCTCTGACTAAAGAATCATTTTAAATGATAAGTACAGTAAGATCAGTGAACTAAGAATTAATTTGAAACTGATTTAAATTCAGATAAGTCGAGTGAAAACTGAGAGGAACAAAACCAAAACCAATGAGATCCAAACGGTTCCTCATGGCTGAAACCTCCTGGCCTGGAAGCTGCTACATGTTCTGCTGTTGACAGATACGGAGATAAACCCATTTTAGTGCATCAGTCAGTCAGAAACAGCTCCTCTCATGTGACCTTCTTGGAACGGTGCGCTCACCAACATGGGTTTGCTTTATGAGCTCGCTGCATCCATCACCAGTTCACGCTCTCCTTCTGCTCCAAGTTTCACCTACAAACATGAAGCTGTCTGGATTCCAGGGCTGGCAGCGTTCTGGTTTCTCCTCTGCTCGTGTCGTCACGTCCTGCCTTCTCACCATCTTGGTTCCTGAACTCTTCTCCTCTCTGGACCAAGTTCTTTCTACCCTGGGGGATCAGATCTGAGCCTCTCTGTCTGTTCAGACCTTCTGGACCTTCGTCTCCCTCAGAGGGAACCAACATAATCTGAATGTTCCTCAGCTTTTTCTGACCTGCCCTCTTACCTCAGACCGCCACTGCAAACCGGATCTGAGTTCCTGTTTCTGGAGTCCTGGAATCTTCCTGGGTCATTTCCGTATTTTCACAATAAAAGTTGAACTGTTTGTCTGATGATAGCGCTGCAGATAATTCAGCGTGCTCTGGTAACAGTCAACTATAATTGTGTTTTGAGACCTTTAGTAAACCGTCTTCCAGCAGACGAAGGTCCTAAGTGGAAAATAAATCAGCAACAGTTAAAGGCACACTATGCAACATTTTTCAGTTAATTAATGTGTTCCATAACGTTTTGGATGACTAAATGAGTCATTTCAGGTTGAACAAAGGTATTCTCGGCCGCCCTGGTGGTCTGTGGGGGAAATACTGCACTTGCAATTGCAGGAGCACCGACCCGCACCCACAGGCTCAGAAGTCTCGTGAGAGTCAGTCTTGCTTTACGGCCGAGAACTGCTACACCCCCCAGTTAAAAGCATGCTCGTTGCTAGCACAGTGGCGATCTTTGTGCAGTTATGCTACGTTCACGCAGCAAAAGCAGCAAAATCGTGTCTGCTGCTTCATTTTTACTGGTTGTACCAGTTAGTTCTGACGCGCGGCTGAAGCAGCTTTGCTGCTCTGCCTGCGCGGTGCAAAAGTGTGTCTGACGCGCGTTGGGCGGAGCTTCACTATCCTTTCTCTGCCTTGCAGCTATATTTGCTGTGATCATTTGGAATAAAGTAGTTTTAATATGTTTTTAAATGAGAAAATACACCTGAAAACGTAATCAGTGCCGTCAGTTCATTCAGATTATTATCCTGCCTTCAATATTTTTTCTGTCGGAGCCGCTCAGACCCCCACATACCAGCGGTGCGCCGACAGAAGGAATCCATTCATCAGCAGCCTCTGGGCAGGTCGCGTCCTCGCGGTTCACCGCGGCAGCTGGTAGGTGTTTTTCATCTAAATAATCCAAACTGCATATTCTGCCGGCAGATTTCTGCATTTTAAGTAAATTTAGGCGTCAATAAACTGTTTAAGAGGAGAGATCATAGCCTCTGATCATCAGCGCTGTGTCTCTCTCCCTGCTTCAGCTGCTCAGACGCGCTGGGCCTGCTGCTCCTTTGCTGCGCCTTGACGCGCGTCAACCATTGACTTTGCATGTAAACTCGCTGCTTCTGTCGCGCCAGCTGCGGTGTGAACGCAGCATTAGTCATTCGTTGTGTTCGCCTGTCTGCTAAGCTCAAAACAACCGCGCCTGGCTTGACGGAGAAACCAGGAGAACAGCTGTGCATATTTACGACAGTGCACTTTTACTTTCGCCCTCTGGGGGGAGCCTCGCTGGAAAATCAACACCGGTTGCATAGTATACCTTTAATTCAACAACAAAGGAATAGGAGTCATAGATAACTGGACTTTTTTAATAGATGTATTCAGTGCATCTAATCCTACGTTCAGACCGCAAGCAGCAAAGCATCTGAAGCATCTTTGCTGCTCTAGCTGAGTGATTGTAAAGTGGGTCTGATGCGCGGTGGGCGGAGCTACTCTATCCTTTCTCTGCCTGGAACAATGGCAGCTATATTAGCTGTGATCAGCGGGTAGAAAGTAGTTAGAATCTATGTTGAAGTGAGAAAGTCCTCCTGAAAACATGGTCAGTGCAGTCAGTTCATCCAGATTACCATCCTGCCTTCAAAGATTATTTCTCTGTGGGAGCCGCTCAGACCCCCACATACCGGCGCTGCGCTGTCACTGGGAATCCCCAGCAGCAGCTGCCTCAGGCCCGCTCGCCTCTCCAGGGTTTTCCCCTCCTGTTGGTGGCGGCTGGAAGTAGATGTTAGCGTTTTTCAGTAAACAGAATGTTAAGATTAAGCAAAGGTTAACAGCCTGTATGGTTTTACAGAAACACTTCCACATTATTACTGGAAAGGGTGGATCCATCTACCGAAAATAGTAGGAGACCAACAGATCAGCACTTCTCCTGACCAACACCCAACACTAATGTGCAGATCAGCACCCCCCCCACCCCCCCCACCCCCCAAAAAAAGGAAATGAAGATAACTGACAACATACTGAGGGTTTAGGTCAATACAGGCTTTAGACCCTGAAAAAATATTGAAACAGATAGAAACCAAATAATTCTCTTTATCTGACAGATTCATAAGTGAGTTTATTCAGAGTGAGTTTTTTTTACATTAGTGGCAGTAGAAGCAGTTTTTAATGTTTCTGTTTCTAGCAGATGCATCTGTTGTTAACAGATACGGAGATAAACCCGTTTTACTGCATCAGTCAGTCAGAAACAACTCCTCTCATGTTAGGGTAGGGTTAGGGTCACCAACATGGTGAGCGTACCTTGCTAAGTTTGCCTGTATTAAATACTTTCTATCAAATAACCAGGACCAATAACCAAGCTGGCCGATCCTCCATGGCCACGGCATATCACAGAAGCGGTCCCAACACTTGAATTCCAACACCCGTCCGTTCCTCAACGGCCAATATGGAGTCTTTGCAGCACCCAGTCCTTCGGTCCTTCCGTCTGCCGCTCCTTCACCCGCTCTGTCCGGCTTCCCTCCCTTCAACCACACAGCCGCCTTTTTTTATCACCGGCGTCCTGCTCTGCACGCTGTTTGGCTGATGGAAAACACCTGTGGCGCTGCCGTGGGCGTCTCCAGGTATGACTGGTAAGGTCGCCTCAAAACAAAATGAATAAAAAAACATGCAACACAGCAACCGCAAGTAACTTTTAAAAAGAAAAAAAGACCACATTACCCGACCATCCTAACTCTGACCCATAGCTCTGTACTCCTCTACTGCTCTTTCTGCACCCCCTCCCTCTCTTTGTGTCATCATTGCAGCCCCAGTAGCTGATCTAATTACTAACTTCATTCACCTGCTGTTCCCTCCCCGCTCTATAATCATCATTCATCTTATCCACCTGCTCCCTCTGCTATATATATACACGGTTCAGCCCAGCTGTCGTGTTATATGTGTTATGCATTCCTAGTTTATTCCTGTTAGACTCTGGTTCATGTTGGGGTTTCTGTCCCTGTCTTCTGACCGTTACCCGGCTCTTCTCCACTGACCTGTTCTGGTCATATTAGCCTTGGCATGCGGGGGGAGCTCGATTCCTGGCTCTTCTACTCTGAGCCCGTTCGGCTTGGGGTGCAGGTAGAGCCAGTTTTAAGTCCTGTGATCCTGGCTACTGGATGGAGCCAGTTTAAAGTTCTGCAGTTCATGATACTACCTTTAATTAAAGCTAATACATAAAAAGCCTGGTAGTAAAATTATGTTAAGTGTCTTTTTCTGGGGCTCCTCAAAACTGCAGGAGGATCAATGAGATGTTTGAATGTACCTTTTGACACCAGTCCACCTTTAACAGGAATTTTTAACTCTTCAAACCTTTTTCTTTAGTCACCAAAGCAGAAATGAAGAAATGAAACTGAAGCTGAGCAGACAGCGAGGAGGAGAAATG